TCCTCAGCAGCTGCTGTGACCCTTCACTCTCAGCAGCCAGGCCAGGCTGTGCCCGTGCTCTCGGTGGCGAGCGTGGGAGCTGCACCCATGGTTTGGGCCCCAGGCACAGCTCAGCAAAGCTCTCAAGGGGACTTTGACAGGTCAGAAATGCTCCGTCCCCAAAATCCCAGCGTTTCCCAGCAGGGTCACGGTGCCCAGCACCAGTCCGGAGGAGAGGCAGATGGACAGGGCCGGCGGAAAGGAGGAGGATGAGGATGATGAAGGCTCTGCGAGCAGCAGGGAGCAGGTCCTGCGGGCATTCCCAGCTCTTCCCCTCACTCAGCTGCCCCCAGCCTCCCGGCAGTTCCCGAGCTGCCTAATTAGCTCTCCCTGCTCCCAGCGCCGTCCAGCTGGAGCCGGAGGGCAGGGGCAGACAAAAGCCTCGCTATTGACAGCCCCTCCGAGGAAGGGGCTTTTCTTCTCCCTCCTCGCTTTTCTTTTCAAGCCCCTCTCCCCCCGTCTTGGGCCGGGGCCACGGGCTCATTAGCACTTGGGCTCGCAGGGATGGAGGCAGCAGATGGCAGCCAGGCGGCTGGCGCTCCCCGCCGCCTCTTCCCGAGGAACAGATGCCCGGCCAACAAGGGGGAGGATTACCGGGAGTGGGGGGCTATCCGCACTGCAGGGCTGCCAGCGGGGCTTCCTCCCCGGCAGCACACCCCACCGCCCCGCCGAGGGGCTGCCAGCCCGCCGGGGACTCGCGGCCACCAAAGGGTGTCTGGGGAAGCCAGAGATTGGGATGGCCCAAAGTCACGGCAAAGGCCACGGGAGAACCGCAGCTGCTTTCTGCTCTCCGAGACTCCAAAGGCAGCGCCATGGCTGCTCCTGCCTTGTCCCAGTGCAGCGGGGAGGACGCGTCACCCTTGTCCCAGCACGTCTGCAGCAGCACCCAGACTCCTCTCCAAGATCACCGCAGAGGCAAACTATGGCTTAATCCCACTTCAGCAGCACATCCCTCCCCCTCCGCGCACGGTGCATCCCGGGGGATTAAGGGTTAAAGCACAAATCCCCAGCGCTGCCCTGATGTGACCCACTTAGACCATCTGGCAGGGAGGGATGCAGGAGCCTCCTTTCCCCCAGTGCTCACTCGGCATCACCGGCTGCCCCGGGAGCTGACACCAGCACCCACAGGCCCCAGCCCCAGAGTGCCCAAAAGTGGATTCTGGCCGAGTTTCTGGGGACAGAGCAGCTCGTGCCAACAGCAGTGCGGCAGCAGAGAACTAAACCACTGCCAGAATCATCCTGCGAGGCCCCAGACTCCCACCAGCTCCAGTTCCCGGGGATATCCTGGAGCTTCTCCCGCCGGGATATCCACAGGTCCCAGCACTGGTGCTGACAAAATTCTTCTGCTGGGAGGAATCAGGGTTCCGAGTGGGACCGGGCTCCCAGCCCTGCGCTGTGGCTGAGGTCACGGCCAGGGAAGAGATGCAGACAAAAGCCCAGCCCAGAGGCAGGAGAGCAGATCCTGCTCTGGGGCTGGGGGCCAGAGCGTGGTGCTCATACCCATCCCCAAAAGCTGGGCAGAGGCTGGTGACTCCTTAGCACAGCTGATTTTAAAAGCAGTTTCAGTTCACCAGAGCCAAAACCCCATCCTCATGGTCCAGTGAGAGAGCCTGAGGGCACCCTGGTTTGGCAGAGGGGCTCAGGGCAGGGTAGGTGCTCCCTGTCCCTGACCCCATCCCTCCCCAGCACACTGGGTGCAAAACCCCCTCAAATCCCACACTGGGATTTTACATATGCTGGAACAATTCCCCTGCAAAGGCAAGCTCTGGGTCAGCCCCAGCCTTTCCCAGCCTCCCCTCACCACCCAGTCCCTCACCCTCAGCTGCACAGCAAAGCCCTGCCAGGCCCTGTGTGGGAAAAGGTTAATTGGAAAAGCCCCTTTCCCCATCACCTCGGTTTTGCCTTTCACAGTGCAAACTGGTCAATAATCCATTTACTTTGGAAGAGCTCTGCTCTGAGCACAAAGCTGTCCGGGGGGCTGGATTTCATGCCTCCCCAGCCCCAGCAGGAGCAGGAGGGAAGGTATTAATGTAGTCTTTTGTTCCAGATGAACCGTGGGTTTAGCAGAGCTTTAACCCTCCAAACCTCCAAGACAGCTTGATGAGAATTTAGCTGGAAGAGGCTTTACCTGCAGAAGCAGCAGGAAGGTAGTAGTGAGGGATGGGGCAAGGGGAAAACAGATCACTTTCTGTCCAGGGAACCCCATCGCTGCCCCACAAGGATGCAGGACTGAGCCCTGAGCCATTCTCAGGGCACCCTGCAGAGATGGCTTTGAGCTACAGACACAGTCCCTGGCAGGACCCCCCATGCCTGAGCCCCTTGACTCTCCACAAGGGCACAGGCTCAGCCAGGAAAACTGCTGGGGAGGTGGGCAGCACTGGCCTAGAAACCATGGCAGCATCTCCGCTGCTGTGGGAAGCATGGGGCCGGATCCAGGGCAGGGTGTTTGCAGGGGACCAGCTGTCAAGGGAGAAAACAGGAATCCAGATGGTCATCTTAATATTTAATTTGGCTAACTGGTCTCCCCATCTCCTCTCTGGCACCACAGTCATTTGCTCTTAAATTAGCCGGGGGTATCGTCGGGAAGAGAGGCTGATCCAAACAGTGGCGCAGCGAAACCTTCCGGAAACACAAACCCAGAGCGGAGCCAGGCACGGAAACCAGTACGAGAGGAGCTGCTGCGAGCCTTGGTTCTGTTCTCTCCACGGATGGGGAGCGGGAGCCTGGCTCTGGCTATTGCTGGACTACGAGCCAAGTGCCAGCTTGGGGACATCCCTGTGCAGCCCAGTGGGGACCCGCTGAAAAGCCCCTGAGGCTGTGAGATCTGGCATCTCCGAGGTGTGATCCTGCCCAGACGGCAGCCTCGGGCTCCTGGCAGAGCCCTGCGGGATGCGAGCCGAGCCGGCAGCACCGATGCGAAGAGCTGGGAACAGCAGCACCTCTGTCCCCGCAGCCTTTGGCAGAGCCCCTCCGTGCCTGGGACAGGGTGAGCCCCTCCGACGCCGGGGTGATGCTCGCCGGGCTGGCCCCGCTCTGTGCAGCCGGTCACACCGCAGGGAACATCCCCGGGCCCGGCCGGCGGTCACACCGCAGGGAACATCCCCGGGCCCGGCCGGCGGTCACACCGCAGGGACAGAAGCCGGGCCCGGCCGGCGGTCACACCGCAGGGACAGAAGGAGCCAGGCTCCGCTGACCCGGCAGCAGCACGGCCGGAGCACAGCCCGGCGTGGGCACCTGGATCTGCTGTGCCGAGGTGCAAACCGCAGCAAAGCCGAACTGGCGGGGCCGTTTCGCTGTGTGCCGGGAGCTCCTGGATTGTTTCACTCCCACCAGAGCTGTCACTACCAACAGCGCGGAGAGGTGCACGCATTTGGGAACTTTTTAATGGATCTGCAAACAACCCGAGCTGCGGTGCTCAGCCCCACCAGGATGTCTGCGCAATCCAAACTGCTGGCTAGATAGAGCCAGGCATCATTCCTGGCACCCAGGCTGGCTGTATTTCCCCAAAACCCGGATTTGTTGTCTTATTACACCTCCAACTGCAAGATACTTAAGCAGCACGGCTCACTCAGGCACCTTCAGGCAGAAGCATGTGTGTAAGGCAGCCCTCAGCCCTTCAGGTGCCGACCATACGTGATGTAGGGATGGAGAAAAACACAGTGGCTCCTCTCCACCACAAAGCCCTGCAAACGCTGCCTGTGGAAACAAGAGTTGCTCTTCTCCATTGGAGGCCAAAGCCATGCCTTACCCATTTTCCTACCCAGACTAATGGAAATTGGAGAGATTAGAAAAATTCACGCTCAGCAGCTGCAGGGGCAGAAGGGACCCCCATCCCCACTGCTGCTGAGGCTCACAGCCTCCACTGGCACGGGAAGCATCCGAAATGGCTCATTCTCCCCTCCCTGGTACAGGCTGAGCCCCTGACATCCAGGCTCCTGCAGAGTGAGCCCCTCTCTCTGCCCTCTCCGTCCCCTTACAGCAGCACCTCCACAGAACTTTGGCTGGTTCCCCACACCAGCTGGGCAGAAGCCGGCAGAGGAAAACCAGAGCAAAGAGAGAGGAGAAGCAGCAAGAGCGTCCTTTCTTTACAAAAGCAGCACAAACAGGATATTATTAACAAATACTGAGACCGTCAGCAAAATGAAGCTGGTCTAAATTAGCGTGTGTGGCTGTGAGGAAGTCACACGGATCTTTGCCTGTGAGACAGCCTGGCAGAGAGGCTCAAGGGGTTCCTGCAGCCTCCTCACCTCTTTTCATAGGTTTTGTTGCTCAGCCTCTGACAAAACATGGGGGCAGTGACTTTCCTGGAGCAAGAGGACAGGACAGGTACTGGGTGAGCAAAGCCAAGGCTGCTTGGCTGTGGGACGTGGGGGCCACCATGCCCAGAGCTATCCCGGTCCACGGCAGTGACCTGGCTCCGAGCACTGCGTGTCCCTGGGGGGCACCAGCCTCTCCTCGGTGACAAGGCAGGGTCCAGCCCTAGGGGGCTGTTTCCCTCCCCAGGCTTCCCCTTCCCAAAGGTCCCAGGTGAAGGGCTGACACGGGACAAGGCCACCAGCGGGACACACACTCCAGGGCTCTGTACAGCGGGGATGGAGCTGCTCACACTTCCCAACTGATGCCCACCACCACTGCCCCCTCTCCGGAGCCCAGCTAGAGCTCTACAGACCCTCACCCTTCTCCCCGTGGGGCTCAGCCAGCTCCCAGGCTCCAAGCACCACCGAGGCAAAGTTTCCCAAACCTGCTCTGCTCTGGAGCACAGCACCTGCCCAGGGAGGGGGCTCAGCCAGCCGGCATCCCCCAGCCTCAGGCATGGGGAGGGAGCCCGGGGTGCTCCAGCCACGAGCTGCTGGCGGCGGGGGGACACTCTCAGGACTCTCTTTAAGGTGGGAAGAGGACTAGAGGTGGAGAAGGACGCAGGGCCTCCCAGAGCCCCCCTCCCTTGTCCCGGTAGCCCTTACCTGGGCAGCGGCTTGCGGGCGGTGATGCTGGCCACGATGATGCTCTCGGGTCGCGGCGTGGCCACGGCTTTGAAGGTGCCTCTCCAGAACTTCTCGAAGAGCTGCTTCTCGCCCTGCTGCACGCCGGCCATGGCCCCCGGCCCCACGGGCAGCCCCGGGCCGGCCCCGCCGCTGTCCGCGGTGCTGAGCGCTACATCCCCCGCGCCGCTCGGCCCGGCCCGCAGCCCGGCCCGCTGCGGGGAGTGCGGCCCCGGCCGCCCCCGCCTCCCGTTTTGTGCCGGCGGGGCGGGCAGAGGGGCCGGCCCCGCCGCCGTCCCCTCCCCGGCACCGCCCCCGCCGCAGCTGCGCCCGGAGCGGCGGAGCCCAGCCCGGGGAGGGGGCGGCTCCGGGGGAACCGCGACCCCGCTCGGGCCGTGTCCGCTCCCCCCCGCCCGGTGGCTCCTGCGGGGCTTCCACCCCCTCGCAGCCCCGGGACCGTCCGTGCGCCAACCCCATCGCTTCCTTCCCCAGCCCAGAGGCCACTTCCAGCTCGCTGCTGGCTCGGGGGCACAGAGCCTCCAGGGCACAGCGAGTCCCCGTTCCCCCACAGGGGCTGCCAGTAGCCTTCGTGTTTGCCCGGTCCCAACCAGACACCAGCGAAGAGAGCCTGCAGCCACAGCTGAGGGAGAAAGCAGCAGGAGGCCATAGAGACCGCTCTGTAACTCGTCCATACCGAGAGCCATATGGGACAGAGAATTTGAAACACAACCCTGTTTTCTCCCCCCTCTTCGCCTCCCTTCCCATTTAACTGAGAAGGGGCAAGGATGGAGCATGCAGTTCCTTGGCTCCGGTGCAGTGGCAGGCTGGGAATCCCACAGCGGGGTCCCAGCCAGCACGGAAAACAATTCCTCACCTTGCAGGGCAGGATTTGACCCGCCAGGACCGGACGCGTGGGTAGGGAAGAAGAGCTGGGGCGGTGCAAGCGCAGCGCTGCGATTTCCCTCAGCCTCTGCGCTGAGTACAATAAAAACGTCTTTAGGAGAAAACGCTTCTTCTACCACACGCTTTGAAGCGCAAGTAAAAGCTGGTGACCTTGGATGAATGAGACTGTCTCTATTGTGCCTCAGAAAACCGCATGATACGTTTATGTAAGCGGCGGGGGGATAATGGAGCCAGGAACAATAGGCGGTGGGAGCCGGAGAAGAAGGAAAATCATGGGGAAACTTAATCGCTTCTTTGCGACAAATACAACATTAGCAGAAGGCTCGTTCTGGCGGCGTTGTTTGCCAACTCCTCCTTCCCTGCCCCCTCGGTGCCGCTGCTAGCCGGGGTCAGGAGCGCTGTCCCCGCTCCCGGAGCCGCAGCACGGGTGGCACCCGCGGGCCGGGCTTTGTGCCGCGGGCGGCTGGAGATGGATGCTGGAGGAGAGGCGGCAGGGAGAGCGGGCACGGATCCAGCAGGGCTTATAGAAACACCGTCAGCTCTGCCAGACAACGCCGAAAAAGCCGACAGGGAAGGACAGCGTCCATGCACAGCGCAGAGATGCTCGCTGGGAGGCTGCTCCCCCCGGGAAACCGCCCAAGGGCGATGCCTGGGAAAGGCCGGCTCGGAGCTGCGGCTCTGCTCTAGCCCAGGGCACGCTGCACATGCCGCGGGCAGCAGATGTCAGAGCGGGGATCCTCCAGGGACAGTCACAGCCAGGAAAGGGCAGGAGGAGCAGGAGAAAAGGCTTGAGAGGTGTAGAGGTGCCGCGCTGTGAAAGCGCGGCCGGGAGGGCACACACAGCAGCCCCAGGACAGTCACCGCTGGCCCAGAGCTCTTCTCCTGCAGCTGGACAGGGACTCCCCACCCAAGCAAATCCAAGCTCTGGCCCTTCCAGTCATTTCCACAGAACACAGGCTGTTCATTAGGAACCTGTTCCCCCTTCAGAGCGCATTAAACTCGGTAAATAGCGAGCAGCTCTAAGCATACACACACACACACCCCAATCTCGCTCTGATTTGTTGGTGAGTGCCCCAAACGTGGGGTGAGGGTCAGGCAGGAGCCCCACGGGCACTGTCAGCCCCAACCCTCGGCTGGTGCCTCATTAACCACACACCCTGCAAGGCATCACCATCCCCTGGGCTTTGCAGGATGAGCCCAACCACCCCCAGCTGCAACCAGTGGCACTCCAGGGCATTTCACCCCCTTCCACCAGCGATCCCGGAGTGGCTGTAATCGCCCTAAGTCCCAAATAAAAGGAATAATAAATGTTTGCACTATTAAATTAGCAGCACGGGTGGTGTGTGGGCAGGAGGAAGGCTGCGATCATTACAAGAGCCCTCTCTCCTGGCGTACCTTGTGGAGACATCAGTGAGCCAATTAAGCAATTGGCTCGGTTAACTGAGGCTCCCAGGAATAGACTTCCCTGCTATAGAATAACTGCGCAGTAATAAATTGTCTCATAAATAAACAGCCTGAGAAATCATTACAAGATACCCAGAAAAAGCACTAGATCATAAGCAGAAAGGATGCTGTGTGCTTCTGGTGTGTCTATTACCCCGTGTGGCATTGCCAACACTTGTCTGAACTGGGGCTGAGGTCCTTGTGGGGGCTGTGGGGTTGGTCCCGTGGGGGTGGACAAGGCCACGGCATCCCTGGATGCCCTGTGGGACCAATGTTTGCCAGCAGCACAGAGCCCGCAGTCACTCACCCATGGGAGTGCCATAAATGCCAGCCCGGGTTATTTACAGCTCCAGCTCTAACGTGGGGCTCTGCCAGGTTCAAATGTTTGCAATAAACTGTAGCACAGCGAGGGAGTCCTGGGATGGGAACAGGGAAACTGGGATTTAAAGGATAATTGCATTTTTCTTCTTAATCAGAAGATATTAATAAATGAAAATATAATAGCATAAAATAACGATAAAATATAAAAATCTGTCTTCCTTAAAGAGCTCTTCTTGCATTATTTGGGGTTTTTTGAATGACAGAAAGGGCTTCCCCCCTGTGCATGGGGAGCCGCAGACTGGGCTCTCCCTGAGGCTGCTGGCCCCCAGCCCTGCTTGTCACACCTGGCTCTGCAGCCCTACAACCCCACAATCAAACATCCAGAACCCTCCTGACCTCCAAAACCTCCCCCCAGCACCCAAACCCCCTGGGAAATGAGAGAGGGACCCACCTGGCTCAGGGACAGAGGAACTCCAGCCGTGCCTTCTTCTGCTTTTCCCTCTTCCACACTTAAAGGGCCCCGTGCCCTCATCCCCTCCCACACACAGGCTTTGATTTTGAGGGTCTGGAGAAAAGAGAGGGGTCCCTGCTCTGGTGAACACCCTCTGTGGGTGTTGAGCTGCTGTTGAGGAGGACAAGCCCAGAGCCAAGGGAAGCAAGGATCAGCAGGAAGAAACTGTGTGTGTGCAGGAGATACCCCAAGGGAGGGAAAGGAGAAAATGTGTTTAGCTAGGATTAAGTTTTAATCTGTTCCCCCTAGCAGAGAGAAGAAAGCTGGGCTTGTCGTGGAGCTCTGGAGCTGCACAAATATTTTTCTATAAGTGTTGAGTGTTGTTTATTATTTGTTTTTTCTTATTTGAGTTGTACCTGGTGGGAAGAGCCAGAGCCTGGTTTTGCTCAATCCACCCCATTCCCACCTCCACGTGCCTTTGGTGTGGTACCACTCACCCATTCCCCAGCCAACCAGGTTCACTGCAAGGGCAGAAAGTCAGTAATTAACACTGGAAGTATTCATTATCATCAAGAGTCAATAAACAAAGGATGTGAGTGCCCTCTGCTCCTGGCACTCCAGAAGCACCGACCAATTATTCCCTCAGCCCTGCCTGGCAGCAGGGGGGTCCTGCAAGACACTGCCTGCTTTGGACAGCCAGGAGGAGGAAAAAAAGGATGAGGAGGAGGAAAAAGAGGAGAAAAAGGAGGAGGAGGAGAAGGAGGAGAGGTGATGCTCTGCTTTGGAAGCTGTGGGAGATGTGGATGGACGCTGAACTGGTTGGGCCGTGGACCTGTCCAGAGGATGCTCCATGGGGCTGGATCCAAACTGGATTTCCCAAGAAAGGAGTGAGTGGGGAGTGGCCTGCAGGGTGAAGAAGCAGCAACAGCCACAGGACAATGTGAACTGCGTGCCAAGCTGGGAAAACCCCTCACATGGTGGTGGGATGCTGCTGCTGGAGCATCTTTATCCTGGTAAAGATTCTGCATTTTGCAGAATCAAACTGTGACAAGAGGGAATTCACCACCTTTCTAGGGGAAAATACCTGTCTTATGGCATTTTTTTCCCTGCAAGGCTCCTGGCTGACCCCTCAGCCCTGGGCAGAGCTCAGCACCTAAGTGTCCTGCTCTTCCTGTCTCCATATCCAGGTGCATCCAAGCTCAAGGCACTCACCAAAGGAGTCCTTTTTTGTTTGGTTTTTTTTTTGTTTTGTTGGGTTTTTTCCCTTCCTTTCTCTACCCACAGGAAACCCATGGCCCTGGGGCAGCTGCAAGGCTGTGCTGGCCCCTTGGGCACAGGATGGTGGCAGTAACCAGCCTGTCCCCTCCCTCCATCACCCTGCCCACGTTTCTCCAGGCAGTCAATAAGGGCAGTGGGAGGTGGAGCTGCAGCCTCCCTTGGAGAGCACCAAGAGGGCACTGGGGAGCACCCACCATCCACAAGGGTCATCCATCAGTGCCCAGCTCAGGGGCTTCAGGATGCTGGGCCTGGTGTGAGGGGGCTGCTGGGGCTGATACTGAGGGGGAGGGTCTGTGCTCCCTTTGTTTGGGTCGATAAAGGATGAGGATGCCCAGGTCCCCTCCATCAGTGCCAGCTCTGCTGTGCCTGTGCAGGGAAGAGGGAAACCTGGGGGGTTTGAGTGTGTAAAACCAGGATGGGAGCAGCACCAGCGCAGGGTGGGACACCCCCAGCCAGCCCCTGGATCTCAGGATGCCTCTCCATCATCTCCAGGTGGATCTGCCAAGCCCCCGTGTCCCCCTCCCCAGGACCAGGTGTGTCCCATCCTGGCTTTCTGTGCTGGCCACGGTGGAATCCGGCTTCTCTGCGGGCAGGAGGGGGCTCTGCAGCTCACCTGCCCACGCGTCTGCTCCAACAAAAGCCTTTTTCCCTCCCTGCTCACCCATAGAAGCCGCCTGGCCCGATGTTTAGGCAGTAGAAGAAAAAAAGGCGCAGGGA